TCTCCGCAAATAAAATAAAACGAAGGAATGTATTTTCTACATTACAGAAAAAAAAAACAAAAAATGATTTAGTCTCTATGACTAAACGTGATCGAAGATCGAAACGCGCCGGTGATGATTAATCACGGCCATTTCGTCATCGAATTAAATTCCAGACGCATTAATTCCAAACGCTGCTGTCGACGCAAACGACGCGAATAAATAAGCGCGCGCGCGCAAACACGATTAAATGTAAGTTAAGTAAATTATCTTCCCTCCGTACGTCCCCGGACTTCTGGACAAAGCGCGGTTGCAACGAAGGACTTCGCGCCGTGTGGCAAGTAGAAGCAAATAAGAACGGCAGGATGCCACGGCGGGAGTAGCAAAGAAAGAGGAGTCTCAGAGAAAGAGAAAAAGCGAGAGAAAGAGAAAGAGAACTCTAGGCAAAGATGACGAAGAAACTCGTCTTTAATCCACTTAGCGGTCTCTTTTGATGCCCGGCCGTTGAGTTCACGCTATACCTACTATACACTACCGTGCGGTTGCGAAATTGGCAAATCCATTCGCGCCTCGCACAGCCGTCCGGATTGCTGGTGACTTCGCAATGTTGCACACAGGACACGAGGTATACGAGACAGGAAGGACTTCCTTTTTTTTTTGTTTTTGTTTTTTAGCCACAACAGTTACATTCCGAGAATGTTATTTCGTCGCGAATTGCAGTCTCGTGCGAAGTAACGCGCCATTTTGTTTTTCGCGCCAAATTCATTCGCGAAAGATGATTTCTCGCGCAGAGATTTCGAGGAAAATCCTCCCGCTCACACGCCCCGCGGAAAAAGAAACCGGAAACGAAAGAATTGTAAAGACAATCCGCGCAATTATCGCGTCAGTGGCGTTAATCGGAGATTAGTCACGTTCTATTTTGCGTTAAGCGTGTGAACGGTAACACGTTTTTGCGTTGAACGCACGGATCGAGTATTTCGTAACGCGTATCTATTTTCTATACCGAACACACACACACACATACATTAATACCTTCGAGAGTCTATCTTATAAATAATGGAGAAATATAAACTTTATAATATCTTTATCTAATTTCAAGAATATCATCTTCCGTTGACAGAAAAAAAAAACCTTACATTACTTGCATATTACAATCTCGCAAAAGGACTGTTTCACATTGAATTCTAGGACACACAGTTTATGAATCTAACCGATGTTGCGCGAGGTTTTCATCGTGCGGCATTATATTTCCCATTAAGTCGCACCGACTAATCTAGTCGGCGTGTAGTACGTGTCTGTCAGACGCGATTTTTCCCGAAGCTCGCGCATTTCCCATGGCAAGGACACATCGCGGACGCGGTGGAGTTGTGGAGAGGGACGCATAATAATAACGATATACGCGAATCGAGGGTAAAAAAACTCGGAGAGTCTCGGTGAACGGCGGGTGTAATTAGGGACGCCCGTCTAACCGCGAAATTTCGTGATCTTATTAAATCCAGAAGGACGCCGGCGAGTGCGCCTCGAAAGAGAGAAAGAGAGTGAGAGTGAAAAAGAGAGAGAGAGAGAGAGAGAGAAAAAGGGAAAGGCTAAATTATTATTACTCGCACAGGGGCCCCAAGGTGCCTGAGCCTCGTCCGACTATTCGACGGTGTGTGTGAGTTTCGTTCGCGCACACACACACACACACACACACACAGCTGTGCGTATACACTGCGTATCTAATAAAGATTATATCGCGAGTGGTCAGAAGAGTGACGCAAAGATTGCGAGATAGATAAAGCGTCCGAGTCGTTGGCTAGATTGGCGTACGAGCCACTTTCCTCATTCACAGAGAGAGAGACACAATAGAGACGCGTGGAAGTGTCCGACATAAAATCTCCTAACCGTTTCTTGTCTCTGGCATCTTCCTTGATCTCGCTGTTGATTTGCGAGAAACAAGGTTCTTACGCGTGTATCACGCGTAAAATAATAGACACGTAAAAGTTATACGAGTGTGTCTATTTTGACCGGCACGTCGTCCCCCGACGATTTGCGTTTATGAATCATGCGAGCGCAATGAACACAGAGACCACGTAATTTTATCGTTTGGCGGCGCAAGCCTTTCGTTTTTCGTGAGAAGCAGCTGATAGGTGCGCGCTTTCATACTCGGCGTTTCATTGAAAACGAACGAACGAAGCCGAGATAGCCGCCTGGTAGCAGGTACGAATTACCGTCCGCAACTATGTTTCACCAAAGTAGTCATTAGCGCACGACAACGGGTAATCACGGAGAATACCCGCGGCTTATATGCGAACGCGCGTCTTCTAGTTACGTTTCCTCCAATATGAAGCCCCGCGGAGAGTGCGGGCCGTCAAAATGATTTGACGACGTGAATACGCTTCGCAATTATCGGAGGGTTACAAGACTGAACGTCTTTTCGGACAATTAATTAATACCTAAACATCGTTCGTGATTAGTTTGTTTAATCGCAACTTGATGCGAACGATATTTTCCGACGCTTTTAAAAGCCTCGATTGTAATGTAAGCGCGAATCAAATTGAAATTCGGAAAAACCTTGGAAAAAATCAATTCGCACGTGGCATTCATATATTTACGTGTTTTCGTTAACAGAATTTCTCGCGTATGAGAGATCGCAGGCGGCGAAAAATCGCAGAATGATATCTCGAAATCAGAAACGAGATCGTGATGTAACAAAAAATCAACGCGACGTGAACCGAGAGAATTTGTGGACCGCAGCCGATTTTCGGACTCACCCCCGGAATTCCCTATAATTTCGGAAGCTACCGCTCTGAAATGCAGCGAAACATGAGATTCGGGCGATCGAAGCTTCTGTGCGCGGCGTAATCACCGAGATTTTCTCGCGATTTCGTGGAACATCTGTGGGCAATTTGCCTGCGAGATGAGTGAGAGAGAGAGAGAGAGATGGGATGTCTCGCGCGCTGCTCGGCGATTCTTTTCTCTTTCATTTTTTCTTCCGCCGTTCGGATACAACATACCGACCGATTGCATGTGATCGCCGTCTCGGTCCTCCCTTCTTATCGCAAATACAATCGCGAATATTTCCGGAATGAATGAATAGTCGACGCGAGAGGAATCAATTATCGATACTCGGTCATGATTCACGCCTGCGTTTCGCTTTCGCGCAATGATCCTTTCGTGCCTCTGGTTTGCCTCGTTTTCTCAGAGAGAGAGAGAGAGAGAAAAAAAAAGAAAGAACAGAATTGGAAATGCGCTCTCGCATAATTTCCGGTGAAATCATGCGAGCAGCGACTTTACGTCGGGTTTATTATCTTTACTGGAAACACATTCCGCGCGATCGATTAACCGAAGTAAATCAACCGAAAGGAGTTTAATGACGGTTGAAGTCGATGACTATTAATTTTCTCTTTCTCATATAGATATATATATATCGAACGCACATAGTTACAAGCTTTTTCTGTAAGAATACAATTTTTACAATGTAAAGTCTTTATTACAATTAACGCGTAACATGACTTTTTTGTATGTGGCAAAACAACAGAATAAATCCGCCTCTTCTAAGTGGTCACACACGTAGCGTGACAAACCCGCCACGACGCTTCTTAATTCACAAAATACGTACTTGCGCGCATTCGATAAGTAGTCTGAATTATCGCAAGTTTCGGATTACAGGTTGCGCGCACTCGGATTTAAATTAATTCCACGACACGTTCGCAACAGTCTCTCTACATCTTATTTCTTTAATCACAGTAGTCTCCGGCATTCGTGGCATTCGGATTTCTTCGTATATGTATATACATATATATATATTACATATACAGAAAAGTGTCACGTATGTAAGTACGCGAGGACTCGGTGTTATATGCACCCGCGAGCGAAGGATGCGAAACCCGATCGAGCGGAAAGGAAACGACCGGTACCTACATTGCCGTGTGACAAGATCGAACGTTATGTAAAATATCACGGGCTAATAATTATTTGCCATTACCGCTACGCGGGACCGGGTCAATTAGTCACGTATATATAATAATCGTATTCGTAATACGCGCCTCGGTGAGGGTAACGTAAACTATAGTCACCCATATAAAACCAGAGATTCTATCTCTGTGCACAAGAGAGAGAGAGAGAGAGAGAGAGCCGGGATGGCGCGGCGTTGCTCGCCACGGATTCTGATCGTCTCGTAATAGATATTAATAGCTCTCGTCACGGCGGCTCGTGCAGGTAGCAATCGAACGGAAAATCACACGTAAATGCCGCGCGATACATAATGCAATTAATCCTCATCGTACGTCGTTATGTCGGCTAATCTGCCTCGGATGCAAAACTAATTAAGATAATGAACACGCGCGTTTTTACCGGTACCGAGTTCTCTGGCTATTTCGCGGAACGGGAACTGTGATTTTCTCACGGATGCGATACGAGGTCAAACCGTAAAAACCGCTATATTCCTCTCCGACATTATTAAAAGACAACTAAACGATTTTTTTTTTTTTTTTTTTTTTGCATCACGTGTGCGAGTGTGTTGCCGAGTCGCGAAAAAAAAAAAGGATAATAATTTTATTTGTTTATCTATATGATTGTGTATACGCGCTTATACTTTTAACGTTTTTAGATATGCGTTTTGACAACAAAGAGAGAGGGAAGGAAAAGTAAATGTTATTCTCGTCGATATTAACTAAGAGTTCATTTCTGAATAAATCGACCGCGAACGAGAGATTAGATTTACACGTCTAAATGTTGCCTGTTGTGAATTCGAAAAAGTAAAGTTGCCGAGCAAACCAGTGACTGAACGCACAGCACTGTGTAGTCAGTAATTTTATTACTGGAGCTATATCTTGTCTCTGGACTTACTCGTTTGAGTAATATAATATTCGAGCCGAGATCAAAACTCGTATAAATTTGTCGTTTAATTCGAGTTTATCGCAATAGCAGAATCAAATAATTCGCACGCGCAAAAACTCACTTGCCCGCATCTGCACGCGGCCTTGATTCATTTTTTTCTTGTGTAATGATCGCTTTCCTTTGTTTTTGTTTTTTTTTAGGGAGGAGCTTGCCATAAAGATCAACCTGACGGAGGCACGAATACAGGTCAGTGGAACCTCTTGACTTATTCTCTCGCGTAAAACAAATCGCAGTAACAGCGATTAGGCGAAGTTAACTTCTCGGAGAGTTTTCTTCCGTCGTGCTCATTAAACGCGCACAATAAAATTTGTTCGGATCTTCCGAAATTTTTCTCACAGTCTTTGCTTTTTTATTTTCGTCGCCGGACGTAGGAATATCCGTTTTTTTTTAAATGTTGAATATAACAATAATGACAAGTAAAAGAAAATTGAGAAAATTAAAAATTTGAACGAACTGACATCCAGTTAAAGATAAAAAAAATGAAATAATTCGGTATAATATGCGTGTAAAATAAAGACAAAAGATTCCGGTAATTAATTGTTAAACCGCAATTCTCAAACGAACGGCTCTAACGAAGAACTGTCTATAGAACAGTAATATACCCGCATCAAGGCGTGACGAAATCAAATTGATAAGTTATATCTGATTATACGTATTGGCACATTATGTGGCGTAACTTAGACATTATTTTAATAATAAGCAGCCGGTTGCGCGTCAAACTTTGTTGAACGGAAAAATGAGTTAATAATTGACGTTGGTAATGTGGTTATAGGCGCGTCTTCCTTAGCGCGAAGGTGAAAATAATGCGCGAACGCGCGCGTCTCTTGCGTAACGCGACAATTATCTCGTATCCTCTGACATTTCGTTTGGATAATAGTCCTCTAGGGGCCCCCGCGCGTTGAAGAATTACTTAAGAATTACTTTGAGTTCTCGCGGTCACGTATATGTGATGCCCATCTCTCTGTGGCAATTTGCCACAACCCGTATATACAATGCGAACAAGCGTGGCAAAATGCGATATATATCGTTCGCGCGGTACAACCGATTGTTACGAGATTTTTGATTATGAGAAATATATTCGCGCGCAAGACACTATTCTACGTTTTTTTTTAAAAAAAAAAACAAAAAACGTTACAAAAACAAACATGATACATATGGAAGACTTATTTGTTGCAATAATGTTTTATCGCAAAACGCGATGAAGAACGTATACGATAGGAAAAATATATTATTAGTTTAAACGATAGGAAAAGTTGTTACAAATAAAAAAATACGATTATTTATTAGAAAATACATAGTAGATTGCTCTTCAACGCGCGTTGTCTCTAAATATTGATATTAATTAAGTGCTGACGTCAGTAAATTCATCGACTCTAAAGTGTCTACACTCGAACGCAGTTTGTTGTTGTTAATTGTTTACTTTAATTTCAGAAAAATATCGCTACAACATGTTGTTTAAGTAGTAACACAGACAGTAGATTAAAGAGCAATAATATTTGATTTAATCGTCGACAATAAATACAAGATAATTCAGTTTTTTGTTGCGATAACGCGCATTGAATAATATCATTAATTGATTGAAGACACACGTTGTTAATCAGCGATGAAAAAAAAAAAAAAAAAAAAAAAACGTGCGCGCATTGTGAAACTACAACAATGTTTGCTCTTGCGTATAAATGATAATCGCATGCAATTTGAATATATTTGAATATATTTAAATATCCAATCATTGGATTAACACACACACTTAGTTTCACTTTTATTACTGTCTGATTGCTGTCGTTTGACGATTAATTTTTTTACGACGGTGTGTTTTGCGTAAGTACGTGCAATTACGATTAAATGTGAAATCGGAAATCGTTATAAAAGCACTATTATGTTGTGTCTATTAATTGCAATTAGATAAGATTGTTTGATGTGAACAAAATTTTATATATAAAGTAAAAAAAAAACAGTCTTCTCTTCTTTTATATTTTTTGCGACTCTTCTCTTAATGTTATAATGATATAATAGCTCGCTTTTGTAAGCAGCATATAAGTATTTCATCTATTATGTTCTTTCGAGATTAAATGTAGAGACTTTGCGTATTGAAAAAAAAAAAAGCTATTAACTCTCGCACACAGATTCTATTACACACACAGACATCAAACTTTATTGAAACAAGAGATATATAGACACTGTTAAAGATCATTATTGAAAGTATCAATATTTTGCTTTTTTTAAATTTCATTTGCGTGTGTTTAAGTTTTTTTTTCATCTTCGCGTAATATGTTTCTCTGTCGCTTTATTGAGTTGTTCAAACAATCGGCGTTTTCCAACAGGTACCGACAGATAACAACACCGGCCGAGACGTATACACATTGCGCATAGATACTAAAAAACATCGAACAGCACTTTATACGCTAAACATTCATAAAAAGCTAATTTATAATCGATACGAGAGATAAGCTTTTAAATGTAATTTAAAAACCGCTACGTATTTTCCGAACAACCCGATATATCATCCACTCAAAGAGCCGCGTGAGTAAACATCTTCTGCGTGACGACGACGACGACGACGACGACGCGCCCGCTTCTTACTGGCGTGTCCGTACGCCATAGTTGCGTGAACAGCTGGCTAATTTGCTCAATTAGTTTAATTTATTCCCGGTACTTACTTATTACTCTTTTTCTTTCCTTCCGATTAACCCGCGCGTTTTCTTCTCCTCTCGTTCTATTTTCTTTTATTTTCTTTCATCCCTCGCTATATATCTCCCCGATATACATATACGCGGTCGTCGCGCCCTTTGCGTTCGATCGTCTTATTACTTTCTACGCACCGTGTACAGACGCTTTAACGTTTTAACCCGGCACTTTTCATTATACTTGCAAATTCGTCGCGGCGTTTCATCGGCAAATCGGCGATTCACTGATGACCGGGAATTACGTGCGCAACGCGCACGCGATATGAGAGTCACTGCCGCCCGTTCTCCACCCGAAGAATGACACGTTTGTCGTAAAACTTCTCTTCGTGGTGGCGTTAATAACTTTCAGGAATCTCTGTGTAGAAAGGGAGAGAGAGAGGAAGAGCCCTCGTGGCGATTATTCGTGCGCTTGCTGCGACGGAATGATCGGCTACCGTGTGTTTCTTTCTTCTCGATTGCGATACAAGTGTCAATTGCCGCCATGCAAGGAGCTGGATTACGCGTGTTGGTTTACGGAAACAATTTCGAGGAAATAATTTTAAGCGCACTTATTCCATTTTTTCGCAGTATCTCCCGACTTTTTATGCGCAATCTCGCTAATTGAGGAAGATGAATTTTTTTTTGTTTTGTTTTTTGAAGAATAATTCCGGAAATATATTGCGAGACGTGTTCAGAGATTGTAGATTTGTTCAACATCGATGTAAAATGCTAATCGCGGTTGAATTATTCTTAGAAATTAAATTACGATCTCGCATCAGACAACAGTTTGTTTGCCGCTAAAAATATATCTTATTATCTGTTCGAATGAATTCCAGAGTCAAATATTTAGCGTGTCTCTGTAATATAAAAATTCTCGTTGAATTTCTCAAGATACGGAGAAGAGATAACGGTGAATTCCAATTGAGAGGAAATTTATGAATGACATATTATACGAGTTCCATTTATAAACGATATGAGCGATTTTTGAGATGAACACGGATCGCACAAATTTTTTTCTGCCGCAGCTCGTCCTCTAACGCGCGAAAATTAGGTTGTCGGCCGGATTCGGTTCTTCCTTCTCCGCTTGTCCATCAGCCGTCATTAATATGCATGACAAATACATCGTCGTGGAGAATGAGGTGCGATTTTTTTTCGAGACCACTTCGCCCCCGTGCGCATCAACGCGCAGAAATTAGGATACATGACCCATCATTGGCGATCATTAATAATTCATGAAATCACGCGGTGCCGTTTGAGGATGAAATACCTTCTTTGCGCGGAGACGTTAAAGACTCGCGCGATTCGTATTTATAATGTGCATTTAACGCTAAACGATGACGTTGAATATATTTAAAATTTTCATAATAAATAATGCAACTAAATTCAGAAATTTATAAAGAATGCTAAAAATTTATGCATGAAAATTCGACGCACATGACTACATACGCATACGTACACATAATATATTTATGTGTATAAATATAAGATAAATTTAATTAAGACCAACATATTCGCGCAACCGGATATGTTGCGGATTACCGCTAACTTAATCGCGTTTGCGGGTTCGCCGAGAATAGAGAAACATCGCGTTGAGCGCTGAACAGTTCACGCGTATTAAACTTTCGATTTAATCGCGGTATTCTTTGTCAATTCGAATTTCTTTTTTAAAAGGTGTTAATAATTTAAAAAAAATATATATATATACGCGGTGCTCAATAATAATCCAAACACGGTTTGAAAAATATTTTGTATCGCGCGCGCGACTACAAATTACACGCTCGTCCGTGAAACCTTCACGATGCGACTACGTCTAGAAGAAACGCTAATTCCCGAGCAAACAAATTCTCGGCTCTCGATTTGACTATTAATCGAGTGTGGCTTTTTTCACGTCTCGATGAATAATGAACGTTCCGCCCGCAGGCTCGTTTCGCCCCGGCAAAACCCGTCGCGCTCGCATGAATAACAGATTGCTATTAGGCAAAGTGATTATCGGTTGTTGCGGCGCTGACGATTAATTATTTTTACGATCTGTCCCGGTGTATGACGAGATAATCGACAAGTCGTGAACTTCTGCCGATGCGCGCGCGAAAACATTCTTTTGGTACAGCGCGATGGCAGAAACTATAAAAAAAAAAAAACAAAAAAAACTATGTGTATATATACATGCATAAAAATTTCACCTTTCGTATTCGAGTTCTGTGTCTCGAGACGTACGTACGTACACGCGAAATGTTCGTGCTTCCTCGAATCGATTTCGCGAATTCGGCGACCAACAAACGACAACGGACAAATGACAACTCTCTTTGACACGCACGGCGTTTTTGTATCCGCGAACTCTTCATATTTTCTGCCTGGTAAAAATCTTTTCCCGCTGCTCAAAATTATACCAAAGGTTTCGAAAATGAATAACGTATATTCGTGTCACAATATACATCAAAATTGATCCGCGCATACGGATTGTCCATTTTATTTGACATTTGAAAATAAGACAGTATTCTTTCCAACGTTGATTTGTGGACGGAATTTTAATTCACATAAATCTCAACGTATACGAATGGAATTTGTTAACATGGAGCGAAAATGGGAAGAATAAATTTTGAGATTTTATCTTTGGGATCTGCATATCTTTGTATCGAATTTTCATAGTTATTGAGTGTTAAGTTCAAAGAACGATTCACGCATTTAACCTTCGAGGTGTATATATATATATATACAAAATATATATGTATGTATATATGTCTGTATGCGGTATGTCGAACGCGCGAAAGGATCTTGGAGCGCGGAGGGGGAAGATGGCAAAGAGAAGGGAAGGGGATTGAAGCGCGGAGAAAAGCAACGAGAGGAAACGAACGTACTCTCGGCGTTTGTGTAATTAATGCGGCACGATTAAGCACGAAACGACCAGGTTCCGGCGACGTGGTTGCGTTTTGTTTTAAAAGCCGGAGAGTCGGAGATGTTTAGCGCCCTGCTGGGGGCAATCCTGCTCGCTGTGGGGGGTCCTGGCACCCGAGGCCTCCTCCCCTTCTTCACCCTGTGCCCTAACGATGGGCCAAGGGGCTCTCTCTCTCTCTAATCTCCCGCGTACGTCTACTAAGGCGAGATTCCGAAGCGGGCGGCCGTGCATGCGCACCTGGAACGCGCGCACGATGGTCTTCGGAAAGGATACGCATCCTTTTCTTCGAAAAAATCGAGATATATACTCAAGTATCGCGGGATGTAATATCGATTATTGCGCAATCGTAAATCTCGCGCTTTTAATTCGCGCAGAACTTCGCCGGCCGTTCGGAAGAAATGATTAATTTTAACAATGTTATTATGGAAAAGCGCAACATGTATATCCATTTCGAGAGACACCGAATCTATTAGACGATACAATTAACTGTATAATATAATTACGAGTATTTAAAAAAAAAAAAAAAAATAGAAACATCCCTCAGATCGAGTCGTTTCGATCCGAAATCGTTTTCTCGATGACGAGCTACCAGAATAGGGATCCCGTGGATCTCACGGAACACGCCCGCCGCCGCCGCCGGGTTGGTGAGTCGATGATGATCGACCTCGATCATCAAATCGCAGAGTCATCGAGAGCATACGCGTCTTATCCCTTTCGTCCGCGCGCTATGACGAGGCCGCGCACCGTGACGAACCGTATTGGGAGTGTCTACATCTTCTGGCGGTACTTTTGATTCTCGAACCCGCAATGCTGCCGCCGAGCCGGCAAATGTGGAACACACACGCCACGAAGTCGTTCGTTCTATTCGGCTTGGAGGAATCCGCCAACGGAAAACGGGGAACGAAACCCGTAAGTGGAAAAAACTAAGCGAGCCGTGTAAGGTCGTGTCTGTTACGAGAGGAGAGACATCCATTTTCTCCGGTATCGTGTGCACACGTTTTCTTCCCCGAAAACGCGACGTTTCCGCTCCTTTTTCCGCGACGCCCACGCTCGATTTATTTTCTTCGACGTAAAAAAAAAACTTTAGGAAGAGGAAGAGACGACAAATAAATACACAAGCATAAAATATATCTATAAGCGAAGGAAACTCTTTGTGTGGGAAATGAAGAAAATCATTTTGGTTCAATTATCCGATGAGAGTTCTCGCGAAGAGCGGTAACATAAAACGTCTCTCCCTCTCGCCGGAAACGATAAAAGATCCCGGATAAGTTTCAAGATAAATGGCCGGTTCTCGAAAAGTTCTACTCGAACAATCGACGTAACAAGCCCCGGCGCTCGCAACTATCCTCGATCTCGCGCGGCCGGCGCGCGGAAACGCGATGATACAAAAATTTTCTACCGCTGCTACTGGTCGAGTCGGAATCGCAGCAGGTGCTCGCGCGAAAAGATTGGATAAGTTGAATTGTTGTTTGTCCGCCTTTAAGCCGGCTCGTCATTGCAATCCGTCACGAGACGCGTGTTTCTTTCTTTCTCGGCGCGACCTGATATTAAAATGAAATCGGTAGCGATATACGTTATTTGCGTTCAGTCGTGCACGACATAAAATCGATCCAACAACCGATGGGATCGCGCGGAGGCAGCAATGAAGAAGCGACGGGAAAAAAAAAAAAAGGGAAAAGAGAAAAGAGACACCGATGAAAGGAGCGAGGAAGAAACGGACTTCCGCTGAACTGATTAGAGAGCTCGGAGTCTCTTCGAGGAAGCCTCGCGATGGAACGAAATGGAATGCACCGGTGTCGAACGAACATCACGAACATCAATTCTTTCACGATCGTTATCTAATTTCTATTTAAACGAGCGTTGGAACTTGATCTCGTTGAGTTTTATTTCAGATAATACTTTTATTGCCGATTTTCAAATTGAAAAAATCGAACAATGTTATCGCTCATAAATATTTAGAATCTAAACTTTCTATATATGCGATTATTTATATATTTGCTATTGACACAACAATTGTTTAATTACAATATATTTAATTGTTTCTTGGTAACAATTTTGATTTTCTAAAGGAAAGAAATTCAAAGTATTATGTAACGCGCGCTGAAACACATATAATTCTTGAAAATATAATATGCATCGTGAGTTCGTTACACGCGGCGATACCGATTCCGAGTATCATGAGTCGCCGAAAACGAAAAGTGGGCCAAGGAATCGGTAATCTAACGGAGTTTACAACAAGTCGATATTTGGTTAATTTTAGTGAAGAAACGTAAAAAACGAGTTCAGGTAGAGAGACAGATGTGGACAAAACTGGAAGCATCGGAGAGAAATAAAGACAGAAGAGAGAAAAACACGCGAATGACTAAAGATCTTTTTGCCTCGCAGCAGTTTCCTTGGAGAGCATCGCGAACGGTAATAATGATACGTTACTCTCTCTCTCTCTCTTTCACTTTGCTTTCCTGAAAAGAGAGAGAATACGTCACTGTAACCGGAATTCGAACTCTTGCGAATCGAGACAACAACCTTCCAAGGAAGAAAGTACCTGTTTACTACCGGAATCTCTGACACGGAGAACACGGAGTGACTTCTCAAAAAAAAAACGAAACACCGCGTATTTATTTCAAGTTTTTTTTCACACAAAAAGTTCAAAGATCTTTCGAATATTAAAAAAATTTATAGTCCGTTATTTATTCCACATCTACAGAAGTTACGTACGATAATTAGCACATACAAGCAAAAATATCACAAAACAGAATTGCGTGCGAATGTAAGACTTGCTGTTTTTTTTTTAGGTGCCACTCGCAAAAAACATCGCCGCGATTACGTAACGCGCGCGCGCGCGGGCGGGAAGGATTCCGAAGGTCGTAAAAGGAATTCTTCCGGGCTTTGCCGCGTTATCGTCGCGCCCGACTAAACGTCTTCCACGAACGACACGACGCCTAATCAGACCGTTTGTGTTCATCTTGTGTTTTAGGTCTGGTTCCAGAACCGACGGGCCAAGTGGCGCAAGCAAGAGAAGGTCGGGCCGCAGGCACATCCGTACACTCCCTACCCACCACCGTCGGCGGTCGTGGCGCCGACCTTGCCAAACCCTTTCGCCCACCTGGTCAACTTCTCTCACAGGAAGCCCTTCGACCCCTTCCGCTATCCGCCGCTAGGTCCCGGCTCGGTGCTTCCCGGTAGTTATGCGCATCCCTATCATCGGCAACCACCGCAGCCACTGCTGCACAGTATGCCCTTGCAGTACACGCCCGCCTCGTTTCAAAGCCTGTTGGCGAACATATCGGCGGCGCAACGGCCGAAGTTGATGCGCAATTCGCCGCCACCACCGCCGCCACCCGCGCCCACGATCCTGACACATCCCCCGGTGGCGCCGCCGCTACCTCCGCCCCCGACGGCCATTTCGCCGCAGAGTTCGCCGACGGGCAGCGTGGGACTGCCGGATATCGACAGGAGAACCAACAGCATCAATTCGCTCAGACTCAAGGCTCGTGAGTACGAGCAGAAGAACTTGGAGAGGTTGCGTAAGAACGGCGATCTCATAAGTTGAAACGCCGCCGAGCTAAGTGTCAATCTGTGTTTTAGCTGTATCAGTTTACTGAGTGATTGTTAATTAACAAATTGATGTAGAAAAAAATAAACAAAAAAGTGCTACGATGTGTTGTAAGTCTCGACGTGTGTAGGTCACACCAGGAGAATTGAACTATCACAATATTAGCGGAAAATGATCATCGAAAAGTATCCGTCCAAGATGTTGATACAGCGACAAGATGTGTTTAGAACGAAGAGATCAGAATCGAAAAAAAATATTTGACATACATGGCTGTAATTTCGTCGCGAAAAAATCTTATTCACGATCGACGATGATCAAAGTCGCGCGAGGAGCGTCCTGTTTTTATTTACTTTTACACGATATCTTACTACATCGCGTTTAGATAATGAAGAGAAAAAGATACTATTTATATACAAAAATCTATCTAATTTAGTTAAAAAGTAAACAAATGTTCTATGATATCTCCCTTAGATCTTACCAACTACTAATAAGTAGTTTTTATAGCGTGTAAGTCACTGTTGTAAATATTTGTAATAACGATCTGCGTGTCACCGTTGCGAAGCCTTTTATTACACACATCAACCGTTCGTTTTTATTTTTTTTTATTCTTTTTTTTTTCACAAACTTAGATAATGCGAATTAGTCAGATCGATAGACAGTCTCTTCAAATGGCATATTCTCGACACTTGATATAAATCTCTCTGTATCTCCATGTCAAGATCTCATACAATTCGTATAACAACAGATCAGAGAACATCTTGTAATGCGGTACTTCTCGGTTATAAGAAATATCGTCGGTTCGAGACCAACGTGCGATAACAAACGGAAGAATCGAATTGTTTGCTTTCTGGAAAAGTTCAAGTTCTTTTCTCGGTCGCTCTCAACAAAATGGAAGAAAAAAGTGAATAAAATCGGAACCAAGTTTTATATGACTGATCTATTTCTGGCAACGGAGAGATCGCCAGAGACGAAGACGCAGGTCTCATCCGAGAAGTACCGTGTAGCGAGTGCGAATGAAGATCGGAAATATGCCATTTGGCTCGGTGAGCTATTTCACGTGTTTCTCAAACTGAAATCAGCTACAACATTGTACTTACTCTTAATATTACCTCTTTTACTTTTCCTTTGCAATGAATAAATTACTACAATAAAAACAAATGCGTTTTCATTCAAGCGATCTCTATCGTTGAAAAAAAAGACTCTGTACAAAAAAATGACGAAGATTATGAATGAAAAAAAAAAAAAAAAAGAAAAGGTAAAAAAAGTTTGCAATTAAGAAAACATCAACTTTGAATGTAACTCAAAACCTGGTACGAAGTTAAATCCTTGTTTACAATATCGCGTCTTTTCGTCGCGAAGAGATACGCGTCGGATAGCGATATTAATTTGCAGGCTCGTCAGCTTTTCGAAAAATAACCCCATTTACTCGCACATACATTAAAGTATCCTCTTTCTCCCCCTCTCTCTCTCTCTCTCTCTCTCGAGAAGCCGCGCTCGAGGAATCCCTCGGGACTGACTTACGGCAAGTAATTCGCGTCCGGACACGCCCGACCGACGAGTTATTTAAATATTTTACAGTTTAATGGAGTCTCGGGCCATTAACGGGCGTCAGCTAATTAGTAATGTATTCCGTGTAACAGCGCGCGAGCATGCTCACAAGAAGGTACGCTAACGATCGGTCGATAAATCGAACATTCGCCGACAAATCGGCTCGCCGATTGAGCCTGACGTGCAACGCGGCAAATTTTAAACATTATGTGCCAAAAATAAAGTGCACATATATTTTCGTTACACTCGATAATTAATACAAAAAAAAAAAACAAAAATTGCTCGTCAAAACTCATACAAATCGCTAATTTACGATGTTTAATCTGAGAAATAAACTTGTCATTTAATTTTACTAAAAGATACGTAAATCTCTCTTTTTTTTCATATAAATTTACTCCAAATTTGTCGTAGAATTTATTATTTTAAGTTTCTTTTTTTTTTTATACAGATGTATCTTTATATTAAACTATATTATATGCGAGAGGACGGATATTGGATACCGTTGATCTACACGCAACGAACGGATTTTAATGATACGCCTAGGGACGATATAATAATATTCAGTCGATTTCGCGTTCCAATTTCCTGAAACTGTTAGCGTCGAGTATCTAACTAGTGGACTTCGAGTTTTCTCTCGCGGGATTTCATTGGTCCGGCGATCGCGGAGTTCGCCGGAAAACCGTGATATTATTATAACGGCGGCTTGATTGAGGAATGGTATTAGAAATCGGACGGTTAATGCGCGGAATTACGGGACCGTGAGGCTTTTATCGCGATAAATCGCGGAGTTAGTTTACAAGCGCTGTGTGTACTACCGCGCACATATAAGCGAAACGTTATTACGTACTTTACGCGATAATCTTAAATGAGTATCGAACTGTGCGCGCGCTTAAATTACATATTTCGACTATATCTACATCGCTCGTATATTGTAATTGTGACGGTGCAACTTCTTCTCCCCGGAGTACGAATAATGGAACGAGAGATACTATGAGATTATTACGTGTTTTTTACGAGGGCCACGGTTAGCTGTCAAATATACGAAGAGAAATAAAAAAAAAAAAAACAATCGCAATGTCGTGTAGATCTCAACACATTATATAAAATAAAAAATTGACGAAGTGAAACTTTTTTTGCGGGGGAGAGGGTTTACGCGCGCGCGTGTGTGTGTGACTGCTTGGTCAATTAAATTAAGAAAGTAGAATGCGAATCGACAACAAAACCAGAGACAAAGGTAGATGAATGTCCGTCGAATAAATTTCGTACCACAACAATTCACGAGAACGGTCGATAGTTTTGTGTCCGAGCAACTCCGAGATGGTAGCTACGTCGATCGCTAAATTCATTTCGATGCGGTCGGTTATTAGGTGGCTAGAGTCGGTGTAAAACGTCGTCGTAATCACCGGTTGCTAACTAACTGGCTGAACTCCCTCCTCCCGCGTTCTTGTGCTTTTCTTCTCCCTTTCTCAACCCCTCTTTCCGAGCATCTTTTTTCGCGATGTGCACGCGCATATACGCGATTCGTCGATCGCCGCGGGCACTGTCGATACTGTTTACACCGTAGTAATTTGCTAATGACCAGGCCGACACGATGAATTCGGGATCGGGTTAGTTGCGTGGTCTGCATGCTGATCGCGCGGCGCGGCGGGATCGACGACGCGGCCCGAGTGATCGAGGATCGATCACGCAGGAGGAAGAGGAGAGACACGCCTTCGCCCGATCGATCGTGCTCAACGTGTACCCTCTCAACGTTTCTCGTCCGCGCGCGTATTACCGATCTATTTCTGCGGCCCGCAATTTGCTTCGATTATCCTTTCGCTCACTGCGCAACTCTTATCGCACTCTCGAGCCGTTTTCGATGATAAACGAAATGATGAACCGCGTTGATGCGCCAGCGCGCCTCCTTTACGACTAGCGCTTTGCTTAGCGCGTGATTTGTTTTTTTTTTTTTTTTATAAAAATCTAAATTTGACGCAAGATTTTGGACGAGCAGACAACGTAAGTTTTATGCGTTCGCGTTTTATTAAATTTACGTTTAATTGAAACGAGATATTCGAGGCGAAATTGCGACACCGTCTGGTACTCCGATAATCTGCAGAATCGAACGTTTTTTAACGACGCTTCATCTAAATACTTAATTTTTTTCTCTTTTTTTTTTCTCGCTGTCTCTCTCTCTTCTCTTCCATCCTTGCATGCAGCACGCGCAAAGCTTTATCCGGTTAACAATCCCTAATTACAGGGTTCCTTGTAACTAACTCGGTTAACATGAAAGCCCCTATCTCTCTCTTGCTCCATTACTTTCCGCCTCTCTCCGTAACGCTCGCCTATCATCGCGATGGATGCAGATTAACTGCATCGCTCCGATCTTTCGGAACCTTCGCTTCAACTTCTCGGGCTTTCTTCAACGGCATATTCGATTTCACGTGCCTATATCCTGCCACCTCGCGCAAGAACGGGCCGCCGAGTTTTTTAATAACTCGTTACGAAATTTGTTAAACCGAAGATAAGATACAAGGTGTACCAAAGCTACCATCGCTCTGGGAAGCAGAGGGAACTTAAGATACGATTTTTTTTTCAGAATTCTTACATCCTTGCGCAAAAAAGTGAGTCGTGATTTTTTACGTACTTTTGTTTATAACAGCAGAATTCTTTAACGCAACAAAAATACCAAATTGCAAATCTATTTCACACTTGTAAATATAAATCTTTGTGATGAAAAAAATTTCTGAGTTACAAGACGCATGATTTACTGAAAAAACGTGATTGTTTTTGCGTCTTTCTAAGTTCCGTCGTCAAAGTGCGAAGCAACAATAATCGAGTAAAAAAAAAGAAAGCAAAGATTACAAAAATTACTTACAGATTAGGCCGAATCCCCGCTATCTCGGTGTAGCATGCTGCAACCTATGTTCCTTCCCTCGCAGCTTCTTACGCATATTCTCGAATATGTATGCGCCTCCGCCAAAACCACCTTAATCGTTTATCTCGTAACAAAGTTCCAACGTCGCGCTCCTCTCCTTCCCGCCTCAGGATCCAGAAGAGGAAGACGAAATCGATGGTCGGGAGACCGGGGACGTGGACGTGGCGAAGATGAGCCCGAGAGAGAGAAGCCGAGGGACTTTGAAATGAGGGATGTACAGCGTGACGGTCTAATTGAGGCCCTCTTGATTGCATTTACACCGCCGCGCGGCCTCCGGTATCCCCAGATACCATCCACCTTCCCCGATGGATTCGCGCGCGGAGGCCGTATCTGGCGAACGCCGCCGCCTCTCCTGCCCTTCCTCCTTTTCCTCATCATTGACTTGCATCACCATGCCTTTCATTTGCACTTGATGTAACATTGCTCGCGCATCTTTCTCTCTCTCTCTCTCTCTCGATCACCTTGTTTCTTTTCTTTGTCTCCTCTTCTCTTCCTCCTCCTCCTCCCGAAGCTCCAAAGTATCGTTCTCGCCGAAATAAACTGCCGCATATAAACGTGCTGCATAGGCGTCGTTGCTTTTGGTTGCGGGACCTTGAGAATGAACGAGTCAGTGTGAGAGAGAGAGAGAAAAGTAGAAACAAGAGAGGAAGAAACGCGCGTATCACACGGAGATAATTTGTCCACCTGCGCGTTCAACAGTCTCACCTGTGATCCGCCCGCTATCTTACAATCTCCTTCTCGTTCCTCTTCCTTCTTCTCCCACCTTTTTCCTTTCCTCGCGTTCGTCGCTCTCGAACTACCACCGAACATCGTTTACCGCGGCCCGACAACGATGACAAGATGTTCGATAAGCTCCCGCATCGATCATCGAACTAAATGGACCTTTCCCGCTCGTTCGAACGCGGACACCGACCGTTAAAAACACGACGCCGAAGCGACTTACACACCATCGTCGCTCGCAATATCGAACGCGTCTTCGCTTTCGAGCGCGTCGGTTTTTTTGTCCATTTTTGTACCGCACACACCGAACAAACCACGATGCAAACACAAAAGATAGATCGACACCAGCAGTCAATGGGTGCGTTCAGACAACTCGACAGTTGTGCAATGGTTGAGAGACAATTACTTACAATTGGGTCATACTTTTAGAACCGAGACAGATTTTGAGGAATAGTCCTATCACGAGTAAATGGATCTCTCAATCGCGTTGCGTTTTCTGAACGTAACCAATATGTCGCGGAGTATACGCGACATATTTGAAAACCGACACTAACCGACACTAGCATCACCCTTGTGATTTACGAGACGCGCGAACGTTGTTTACCTGTCCGTGAGAATTTGTTTCTCTCTCTCTCTCTCTGTATCTCTGTACCTTTTCGCCGTCATTTTCGTAAATTTCGAGTCCAGAATTCAATCGGAAGCTGCGGTGCGTGATTAGGTACTTGGTCGTATGTACATCGCGGCCGCGACTGCGCGTTGCGAATCTATCGTAATTCCAAAATTGACCGAATTCGCGCACCTAGCGGCGGCGCGCGTTATTAAAAACGAAACTCGCGCGACTCCGAGGGTCGCTGTTGTCCAGGTCGCTTTAACCAGAGATTTCGCCCGAAAATGTCAATCATGTTTGCGCTTATCGCGGATACGGATCTCATTATCGAGAGGAATGTTATTTATCTCGTTGTACATCGACGATGTTGTGGAATCGCGTGTGAAGATACGAAAAAATTTGGGAACCGCGTGAAATCTACTTATATAGCGCGGTAAGAACGCGATAATTATAAGATTATCGTGGCGTTCGCCACGTGATTTAAGAGACGGCGGATATTATCGTTGAGCTTTTTTTAACGAGAGAATGCGTCTCCTCCTTCCAGCTCCGTCATTTTCGTCACGTGAAATTAGGATTCAATTTGGGAGCCGAGTGCGGATTTGCGCGCCATGGCAGGAGAGAGAGAGGCCAAAAAAAAGATCATCATTGCATCATCGTTACCGTCGTATCGCTTTTCACCGATCGTTCGTCGTTCTTCTTAAGGCTATCATCGACACATCGTAAATTGTACGTAACCCTTAATTGTAACTTAAACCTTAACTTTATATCGCGATAACTACGTTCGAGAAGGAAGAATTTAAAAACGCTCTTCTCTTATACGAATATATATCTCGCGCGTAAATGCTTTTATTATTTTATTATATTTAAGTGCATGAAAATTTATACTTTTAAACGATATTTTTCGCATGTACTTTTTATATTCACATGCAGAGAGAAAGAGAGAGAGAGAGAGAGAGCAGTTTTTTATATCATTTTTTTCGAGCGAAATAAAAATTTTATTCGGCTAATCGCGGACGTTTTGTGTACTTTGTGCGACTGATTGATACGCGCAACAGCACTCGCCTTCGAAACAAGCTTGATTTGATTTGTGAAGCTCTTTGCGCACGTGCGACACTATATATATATTATGCATTAATTGAAAAAAAAAAAAACAAAAAAGCAAAGATTTTGACCGGGGAACTCTTTTGGTACCTCGCGCGCAAATCTGTCTGGACCCCATTGCTCTCGGGGACATGGCATAAAATGTGCAAACTCCACCATTAGTTACTGGCGCAGTCGTGGAATGCCATCCGGTCGGAGCCTTATTAAGCCCATTACGTCTTAATTTATTTCTTTATTCAAAAAAAAGGCACGGGGCCGCGCCATGGCCGAGACTCGAAGAAAGAGAGAAGAAGAAGTAATGATATAATTTTGCCGAGGCGTCTCGCGAGCGCGCGCGCGCGCGCGCCATTTGCATTCGGTCGTGTTGGTGGGTGCGTAAACCCTCATTGGATACACGTGTATATACGATAAGGTTTACATGCGAACTCTTGGTTTTTCTCTTTCTTTCTTTCTTTCTTTCACAGCAAATAACGAACGCCTACGGTCGTACCGCGAGTCTTTCTGATTCGAAAAGAATGGCGGCTTCGTCTTTAAATTCAGTCTGGTTTTTTTTTTTTTTGGTTTATTTTTACTGCTCGCTCTCTTTCTCTCTCTCTCTCTGCTCTAGCGAGCATTAAAACCGATTCTTGCGCGAGGGACACTTAACCTTTTGCACTCGGAATGTTTGTCATCGTGATATTAGCCGGCGTTGTATTATTTCAGCTGGAAAAAATTTATGCGGTAGTTTCAAATCCAAATTGGATTCCCAGGCGTATGAATAATTAATGAGGTTTTATATAATTTCATATGCAAAAATCTGCGATAAGATGCGGAATCGAAAAAAATTGCTGCCGCACGTCGTAATGCGTAATCGAATTGCCACTTGTGACAATTCACTCATTCGTTTACATTACTTTACATGAGCAAAACGTAAAACTTTATTTTTAAGTTATTGGTGTGCAATTCGTATATAATCTGAAATCATTTTTTTGGTTTTTTAACACGAACACAGAATTTACAGTACTAGCACAACACAGGCGCGCGGTACGCGCACGCTATTGTTATTTTTATTTAACGCGTTGTCAGTGAACACAACCTGTCACCGCGATGACAGATAGTTATTATATACGTCTTATAAACCATATAATACACATATGAGAAATGTCAGAAATAACGTATGAAAATCAAACTCAAAAAATAGTGAGAGAGAAGTGGAAAAACAACACGTGACAAGGAAAAGAGTAAAAAAGAGAATATTATATATGTTATATGTAATATTCTATATCTATATATAATACACACACATACGCATATATGTATATATATATATATATATATACCGTACTCACGTGACCGAAGTCAGTAACACCGCCGCGGTTGCGCGGCCGAGGTCAGTGACTCCACCGCAGTCGCGCGACCGAGGTCATTGACCCCGCCGCGGTCGCGCGACCGAGGTCATTGACTCCTCCCCCCAGCGAGGCCGCGCGCCCGCGGTCAGTGACCCCGCCAAGGCCGCGCGGCGGAGGTCAGTGACATTACTGTAGTATGTATATAATACATATAATACAATATAAAGTATAATATTATAAATATATAATAAATTATATGCATAATATGTATTATTTAATGTTATATATAATATAAATTACAGTCACGTTATTTTCACGTGTTGGTTTTCTACACTTTCCTGTCACGCGACTTTAGTTACGTTTTTAATTTTCTCTACATATACGACGAACTGTCTCAAAATCGCTTTTCATTATTTACTCTCTCGATCTTACCGATTCGATTCGACTCGATCAACCAACCAACTAATCGGCAACGCGGAAAAGAGGCAACAATAGGTGCGATAGATTCGACTCCAAACGCGCACTTCTCGGTCCTGCTTTTTTTAATATAGGAGATAAAATATTAAAACGTTGAAAGTAAGACTTCAAGGTTTTCTCAGATAACAGGATAAAGTTTGCGAGTACACAAAATGTAAATACGTCGTAAAGTGCAAGTTTTACGCAATCACGAAGGGAAAAACCATCCCCGCTCGTGATGTCATTCACACCTGCGGTTTACGCCTTCGGTGGGAAAGATTGCACCTCCCACCGCGATTCCTGTACACCGCGCGTCCTTGTTTGCAATTCGCCGTATAGCGTTTGCCGTTATTAGCGTAAACCCGAAGTTAGCCGCAATCGCGCTTGGTAATTTGCGCGTTTGCCCGTCAGCGCCGCCGAGTGGAATTGCGGTGTCGCATTACCTTACGTGATAATGCGCGACGCACCGTAAAACGTTCACCGACGATTCCCCCAACACACGCGAATGTTCGCGTACCGCGTGTGAAAGATTACGGTAATAACGTGAGAGAATTGGATGTACGTATGTCAGCGCGTCACCGCGAAACGTAGAAAGAGGATTGAGCGTGGCACCGTTTACATGGTTAAGTTAGATTGCGCCCTCCTTGAGTTTTCTATCAACGTTATTCACGTACAAGTGCTTGTTGCTCGATCTTGCTTGATGATGTCGAGCATTTCTCGCTCAAAAGTGAACAATAAACATCCTTTCAATTTGAAAACGAACTATCTGAATTTATGTGCGAGTAGAAATCTTTTATATAATTTTTTGATCAAAAGATGATACCAAACTACGACGGTTGAGACGTACATTCGAGAGATTCCGAGCTTCGGAATCGGACTCAAACTTATATTTATCACGAAGGCAAGAGAGATCCATAGCGTTCTCGAATCGGGAAGCCAGTCTAATTTGAACATTGTCCGCCGGTGGCTTCTTGAAATTAAGCGTCATTGTTTAAGAGTGAATTCATCTTGATTGTCGATGACTAATGTCTCGCGGCAACCGCGTTGAGTGCCACGAGGATGGATCGAGGGTGTTCAGGAGTCGGAGTCTGGAATGGCGGTCCGACATCAGGGTACAAAGAGGACGGGGGGAAGGGGAGAGGGCACACCAAAGACCGCGGAGACGAAGAAGAAGTGCCCACCGCCACGTGAGAGGGTTCTTTAACGAGCATCATCAATAACGCGTACCGACGTTGAAGAGGAAACAAAAAAAGAGCGCGTAGAGTCACTCCCGACAGTGCGTCGCTCGCTATAGATACCGGTAAATGGTGTTAATTAGTAAATTTGATTTAAACCCAAATGGAGCGACCGAATAGGCGGACAAGTGCTGCGCGATGATGTACGATCTCTGCGAAATGCGCAGTCCGAGCCTTTTGTGATCGTCCCTTTTGATGAGGATTGAGAACTTGGTGAGAGAAGGATAACATTATATCATTTAAAAATTCTTTCTCTCCGCACAGTAAATTTATTAATGAAAATTTCAACCGCATTTAAGAGAACCGATTACTTTATTTATGTTTTAATTTTAATTTTCGTCTTCAATTTTTTACCCCGAGATAAGAGTGTTTAAAATACGTAGCGGGGGGAAAGTTAACAAACTTGGCGGAAGGTGAAGATGCTCCGTGCGTAACTAACACGGTAAAAACATACGCGCGAGATACAAAGTTTCACGGCGCGTCATGTATATATCCTCGGCATTGGT